GGTCTAGGGTTTAGGGTCTAGCGTTTAGGGTTTAGGGTCGTATGGTGGGATCCTGAACGGAGAGGGCCCCCCAAGACCGGCGTGCATCTAACCCCCAAAATCCGGGGGACCCCGATAATTAAATTGGGATGTCCAATGTGGGGTATTGGGGTATGGGGTTTGGGGTTTCGGGTTTAGGATTTCGGGGTTCGGGGTTTGGGGTTTAGGATTTCCGGCTTTGGGGGTTTAGGGCTTAACTTTTGGGGAGCCATGAAAACAAACTCTGAACCCTAGAACCCTACAGCCACAAGACAAATACAGCACCGAAACCCAGGCCCTAACGCCAAGCCTTAGGCCAGCTAAGACCCATAACGAACCCCACATTCTAATTCTAGAGGCTCAAAACCCTAAGGCCCTAAACCCCTAAACCCCAAAAGCCCTAAACCCTAAACCCTAAACCCCAAAAGCCCTAAACCCTAAACCCCTAAACCCCAAAAAGCCCGATAGCCGGAACCCCTACAGCGCTAAAATCCCATGCAGCGCTGCACCGACTTGGAGGTTCCCCCCTAAGTTCGGGCTCCTTTTTTATAAGGGCAACTGAGGGTTTGGGGTTTAGGGTTTAGGGCCAACCATCTATATCTCCTTCTAAGCAACTGGGTTTGAGGGTGTCGGAGTACCCCTATATACACTTAAACTCACGTTAGTACTGCTGATGATATAAATCCTGCATTGCCTTAGGGACCCCAAACAATGGGAATTCTGGTATATTCCTTTCTATGGGTAATCCAGTATTTGTATCATCAGCCGTATAAACACTTTGAGACGATCTACATCCTGCACCTCGAACTTTTCGTCGCTCCCTCCCCACCTGGCTCAGCAAGGAGAAGACCTGGGAAATCGCAGACGGTCGTAGGATGCCTTCCGCCTTGCGTGGGCGTTGGAGGTCCGATTCTGGTGGGGCTGGTTGGGTTCAGGGTTTTAAGTTTGGGGTTTAGGGTTCAGGTTTAGGGTTTGGGGACAAGGCGAAGCTTCCTAGGACTTCTCAGTATCAGAAGTCCATTGCAGGTTATGGTTAGGATATGGCGTGTAGTTCTCTTAGACCTACAGGAATCGATACGGGCCCTCCAATTTCGACTTCCTGCACTCTTTTCTGACATGGAACTTAATGGCAGGGTCAGAACAGTGGCCTGCATTGGGGCTTTAGGGTTTAGGGTTTGGGGTTAAGGTTTGGGTTTAGGGTTTAGGGTCTGTTTCTTTTTACCAACTGCAGATACTGTAGAAGTCCTTACCAGGATGAGCCGGTTATTGGGGCAACCCCATAATTTAAACCCTTTAATCCCTCTGAAGCCCCTGAGCTTGCTGCCGGTACGCTCGTCAGACAGCTAAGCGAAGCTATGTTGCTGGCAAGCTCAGAAAAGTCATGGCGGTAGTTTCAAGCACGTCGTTTCCAGAAGATGCAAGTAATTACAACTGGCAGATAGGGCAAAGGGTTTAACTGCTCAAGCCTGGTCGCACATGCACGGATGGCCCTGCACGCTCGCTTTGCACCTTCCAGACTTGGCTGGCCCGGCCGTTCAGGATCTCCTTCGGAAAGCAGTCCTGGTCAGTCGGACTCGGAATCTTCCTGCCCAGGCGGGCGTATCGTTGGGCGGAAAGGCGCCTGGAGCCGCGGCGCACGAGCTGGTCTGGCCTGCGCGCTGCTCCATGCGCGTCTGCGGCCTGATCCACCATGGCAAATCCCAGGCCGCCACGACGAGGCTGGTGAGTCCTCCTCGAACAACACGAGGTTGTTCACGTACTCCTCCACACAGCGCGAAGAGCTCGGAGCCGTGGCCAGCCGAGGTTGCCATTGAGTGCACGGTGGAAGGAGCGGCGGAAGAAGTCACTTTCTTCGACCAAGACTTCGCTGGACAGCTCGTAGTTCTTCAGGTGGCACGTACCCTGGCCTAAACCATAAAACCCAACCCTAAAACACTAAAACCCGTCACCCTAAACCTTGAAGCTGTGCTGCTCCGTGGAAGCCAACGCTCTAGGTCTGGGGTTGAGGGTAGGGTTTAAGGTGCTAAGGTGCTAGGCTGCTAGGGTTTAGGGTTTAGGGTGCTAGGGTTTGGGGTGCTAGGGTTTAGGGTGCTAGGGTTTAGGGTTGAGAGTTGAGGGTTTAGGGTTCAGAGGAAAATAGTTGTTTCCGATCATAGCTTCGTCTTCGAGTGACGGATGTAGGGTGCCAAGCTCGGGCTTCTTAGTGCTTGTACTACTTTTGCGCTTCCAGCTCTCCAGCTTGGGCAGTAAACCCTCAACCTTGAACCTGTCAACCCTAAACTCTGAACCCCAATCGCCTAAACCCTCCTCAAAAACCTCTAAACCCGAAGCCCCCCGAAGCAAAAGAACCTCCAAAGAGCTGGTGTGGAAGAGGAGGTCTTCGGGTATCCCGTTTGCCTCGGCGTTCGGGGCTTCGAGGGTTTAGGGTTCAGGGTTTAGGGTATATTAGGGTTTAGGGTATTAGGGTTCAGGGTTTAGGGTTAAGGGTTTAGGGGAGTTTAGGGGAAGTTGGATTTATGGTTCACGGACTTTTCCTGAGCTCCTTTTGTTGGGGGTTTCGGCGTTGATATCCGAGGTTTGAGGTGTGAGGCCTCGAAATGTTCATGTAAGGTTACCGGCTTATGGGATCGTTTTGGGCTGAGGGCAGTTAGGTGTGCTGGAGCGGCTTCAGGTTGTTAATTATGTAACTATGAGGCTGGGGCTGTTCGGGTTGAAGGTTCACGTATATCGCATCGGCTTATCCTATACATCTACGATCGTGGTGTGCTAGACACCGGACTCTTCCAGGGGCAGCAGCACCAGAGATCTGCCACGAAAACGCCTTAAGCGCAAAACTTGAACCCTAGACCCTCACCTCTAAACCCCAAGTCCTTTCATGCCCGAATACTAATCATCAGTCTTAGATGGAATCGAGAAAAAAGTCCCCACTCGGCCTTGGATTTCATGCGTTTTGGGGTTAAGGTTCCATGGTTCAGGTTTGGTGTAGGTCTTCCGGGTTCAGGGTGGAGGTATAAGGTTTTCGGGCTCATTGCTTAACGTTGGGGGGGTTTGGGGTAGGGTTTAGAGTTCAGGCATTAGGGTTTCTGGCGTGGGCTTATGGCTTGGGTTCAGGCAATACTAGACCCGAGGCCCTAAACCCGAAACCCTTGTTGCATGCAGCGACCACAAAGGGCTTCGGTGTTCCTTGTAATATATAGTTACAAAGAGAGACAGCCCCATAGCTAAGTATCCCAACCCCTTTCTTACCCCGGCTTCAGCCGAGCCCTGAAGCCGAACCTCTTCGAAGAGGTTTCAATTTTTTTCGGGTGTAGGGTCAGTTTTAGGGTTTAGGGGTTAGGGTTTAGGGGTTTTCGGGTTTAGGGTCAGTTTTCGGTTTTAGGGTTTAGGGGTTAGGGTTTAGGGAAATCTGAGTCTTCTACACCCACAAGCTCCCCCAAAAAAATCTAAACACTCAATCCAAAAAGCAAGAAAGTTGCTGAAGCCCCATAAACACCCATAACCTATAAACTCTGAACCCTAAAATCCCCCTATAAACCTCAACCAACGCCCCTCTAAACCCCGAAACCCCTAAACTCTGAACTCTGTAGACACCCATACCCTATAATCTCGAAACCCTGAAAAACCCCCTTAAACCTCAACCAAGACCCCTCTAAAACCTAAAACCCCCCTACAGACCCCAACCAACGCCCCTCTAAAAACCCCGAAACCCCTAAACTCTGAACTCTGTAAAGACCCCTTGCCTCCTCAAGGAGCCGACCCAGGTGGCCGCTCCTGAGACATGGGGCTTTAGAACTTCTTTAAGTTAAGGGCGGCTTAGTTTAGGGTTTACGGTTTAGGGCTTAGGTTTGTTTTTAAGTGCAATGATCCCTTTCACTCCGCCAAGCTGAGCTCAAAAGACAGGGCTTAGGTTTAGGGTTTAGGGTTTAGAAGTTGCTGATATTAGGGTGGCTTACAGGGTTTAGGGCCGACATCATTACCAATGCTATGTGGGGGGGGGGGGGTCCGTATTATAATTATGGTAAAACAAGCCCCAGAAGCATGTTCTATTTAGTAAGGCCCCTGTATTGTCCGTGGGTAAGGCGTGGGGTGTGCTCTTTCCGCCCTCAGCACACTGGCCTCGATCGCACACCCACGGCAACATCGCGGGACCTAAAGTGCACCTGAAATGCACCTAAAGGCCCAACATGGCGCCCGAATACAGGTTTGGGGCTTGGGGTTTAGGGGTAACGAAAGATCCTTGTGTTTAAAGGCGCCCAACAAAAGGAGCGACTTGATTCAACTTGACTGAGGCGCAGTGCATTGGTCAACCGCTCGTCCAAGGATGGCACCCAAGGCATCGTGGAGTCCTGTGACAGCGGTTTAGGGTTATAGGTTTAGTGGACGGTTCAGTTTAAAAAGGCTTCATATCTTACGATCCGGGAACAAAAGGATTCCAGCATGTAGGACGTGGGAGGCTCTCGACAAAAGGGCTACATTGCTCCTGAACATTCAGGATCCTACTAGCTTCGGGTCTCAACAAGTAGAAGGGTTCTGCTTTCTGAAAGTCCTGTCGAGTGTGGCGAGCGTAACAGTGTAACAGTAGCAGCAGCGGTAGAGGGCTTCAGGTTCTGGTATCTCAGGAGCAGGTCTTCGCGCATGTAGGCGGTGTGTTCAGCAAGCCTAAACCCCCAAACCTGAACCCCAAACCTTCAACCCTAGACCAAAAACCCCAAACCCTAAACCCCAAAGCCTAAACCCTAAACCCGAAAGCCCAAACCCGAAAGGCTCAACCCTAAACCCTAAACCAGGCTCCTCGACCAAGCCAGAGGTCTTCGCGAAATGCGCAGCATTCCACCATGCTCCAGCCTGGGGGGTGATGGGTTTGGGTTTAAGGAGTTTAGGGTTTAGGGTTTAGGGTTTAGGGTTTAGGGTTTAGGGTTTAGGGTTTGGGTTTAAGGAGTTTTTGTTTTTTTGTTTAATGTGTGCTGGGTTGATCCTGACTGTACAGGCACACACTTGCTTTAGGGTTTGGGGTTTAGGGTTTAGGGTTTGGGTGTTAGGGTTGAGAGGGTTTAGGTTTTGGGGTTTGGGGTCAGGACCAGGGTTGAAGGTTTGAAGTTCAGGGTGCAGGGTTTCATAGGCAGTTAGACTGCAGTTCATGGGCTAAGCGGGTTACAAGCCGCATGATATGGGTTGCTCGCTGTATCTCAGATCTGAGCTTACCATGTCTGCACGGAGAATGCTGAGCACCTACGGCATCTACATGGTCCCTCTTAAGCTCGCACGAAGACAGTACTTAACTGCTCTTAGCTGCAGTTGCTGGACCAACCACCATCCCTACCCAAAGCCTCCGTAACTCCGCAAAAACTTTGGGAAAGCCATACAGATCCTGAAACCGCGCACCAAACAAACTCCCACAGCTCAAACAGCCCCAAGAACTGAGCCGCATACCCTAAACCCATAGGACAACCCCTTATAGAACTCTCATGGCACCTTTGCTAAACAAAGCAACCTCGAAACACCAAACCTCCTGCCCCTAAACCCTAAACCCTGAACCCTCCTGCCGCCCCAGATGCCACGCAGAGCGCGGAGACGAAGGCAGCGGTGCGCACCCGCGGACTTTCATCGCTCTCCAGAAGGCCAGTGGCCTGGAGAGCATGGCTGCAATTACGGCTTGACTGTTTAGGGTTTAGGGTTTAGGGTTCGGGGCTTAGGGTTTAGGGTTTAGGGTTTAAGGGTTTAGGGTTTAGGGTTCAGGGTTTAGGGTTTTTACGGCTTATGCAGGGTTTAGGGTTCCCTAAACCCTAAACCAGGGCTCAGGGTTTGGAGTTGGGGTTCCATGCTTACGGTTCGTGAGGGTTGCTTACGAGGGGTGTAGAAGAGTTCATACGGGTTTGGCGCTTCCTTGGAGCATGCTTTAGGGTGTAGGGTTTAGGGTTTAGGTTGCTTTACAAGTAAGGTAGCCATAAAGTACACGTCAAGCCCCCAAAAACCTGCAAATCATAGTTAAATCCCCGGATGCTGTGGGTACTCTTGGCTCCGAGGTTGGGTTTTGGTGCTTGGGGTGTTAGGTTTGGGACTTGGGTGTGCCATTTTAGGGCTTCAGGATTCGGCTACGGGGCATGGAGGATCAGGCTAAGGGCTCCGGGGGTTGTTTAGGGTTTAGGGTTTGGGGTGGGGTTTAGGGTTTGGGGTGTTTAGGGTTTAGGGTTTAGGGTTTAGGGCGTTCGGCTAAATGCTAGTACAGAGGTCCCAATACTCAGACCACAGTAGAGTATCTGGTCTAGCCTGTTTTGGCATAGTGATGGTCAGTATTAGTATAGTTGCTAAGGGAAGGAGTGAAGGATTGCACTATGATTGCCAGTGATGCAGACCTGCATACTAGGGTGTCTGGGTCCGTGTTGCTGGTGAGACCCCCGACCCTAAACATTCCTAAACCCTACACCCTAGACTCTAAACACCCCTAAACTGCCCTAAACCCTAAACTCGCATTCGAAAACCCTCACCCCGAAAGACCTCCCCCCACCCAATCGCTGAGCCCCAAATCGGCTTAAAGCTTTTGGGTTTGGGGCTTAGGGCTTGTAGGGTTTAGAGCTTATCTCGTAAAGAGTCTATGCCGATTGGAAACAGCTCATCAACCAAACTACCTGATGAACCCCTCTGATCACCGTTCTCCAGGAGAGCTCATAAACCCCGTGGTAGATCCCTTGAAAACCATGTCCCCTCCAAACAAAAAATGCAAACCCCAGGCTGCAAACGAGCGTAGAATAAGAAGCACCGGACAAACCTTTATACGATTGCCCTCAAAGAGCTCACAAATCATAGTTTAGGGTTTAGGGTTTAGGGTTTAGAGTTTAAGCCTGAAATAAACCCTGAAACCTATAAACCCTGCACAAGTCACCCTGAAGCCGTCGTCTGAGCGCCGAGCCAGCTCCAGCAGATCTTCCACAGCAGTAGGCGCCTTCCTCAAAGTTGCTGTAAGCTTCAAGCTTTAGGGTTTAGGGCTTATAGGGTTCAGGGCTTATAGGGCTTATAGGGCTTATAGAGCTTAGGGCTTATAAGGCTTACAGACTTTAGGGTTTAGGGCTTAGGGCTTATAGGGTTTATGGGGTCTAGGGGCTAAGGCTTAGGGTTTACCGTGTAAGGTGCAGGGCTTGTTCGGGATTCAGGTGAAGGGCTTCGGGTTGGCCATGGACACGGTTTAGGGTTTAGGGT